GAGTGCGGTGAAGTTTCTACTGGCAATGTGATGTTAGTAACTACCATGCGCAAGCAAAGCATTAGCAACAATATGCAACTTGAAAATTGCATCTGCAACAAAGCGGTAAGCAATAGTATCTGAAGGTTTTGGTAAGAGCGAGGAGTGCGGAAATTTAGGATTACGAACCATCAATATAATGTAAAAAAAAAAGAAGAAAAAAAGTTCTTTGGTGTTTAATATAACAGTTGCACTCTCGCTAAGCAAAGCCTCGGAGACTGTTAAGCAATGGAAGCGGTTAGTAAGACATGCAAGCAAAATTGTTAGCAAGCAAGCAAGCAAGCAAAAAAAAAAAAAAGATAATAAATAAATAAATAAATAAATAAAAATAATGTTAGCAAAAGCAAAGCGTCTAATTGTATTAATAAGCGAAGCGATCTACGGGTTACTGATGATGAATAGTAATATAGTAAAATAATCTTGACTGTTATAACTACAAAGAAACTACTTTGGCAGAATACAGTTTGGAATTCAAACAATATTAGTGCAAAACCTATTAGTGACTTTAGAATCAGAATAAACGGAAAATTGACAGTAAATTATTATCGATATATACTTAATTAATCCTCTTATGGAGAATTTGATATCAACTTCTTTCCTGCCAAGCACATTGAGCAATCAGATACATCAGTATAAACTAAGCAACTACAGAGAAATTGTTATAAAGGTGTTAATGGAAAACAGATTATTAACTACAAGATATATAGGTGGTTCTTATCACCTATTATATTTTGAGAGACTGAACACATGCAGGAGAAAAAAAAAGATGGAAAAGGATTATTCCTAAACACACATTAATTATTTTCCATATCTAATTTCTTTTTCTCTTAAGCGCTCTATGTTGAAAGCGTGTGGTCCCAAACAAGGAACAAAAACTTCACTATATATGATCAGATGCTGTAGTGATAGAAAAAAAACAAACAAACAAACAAATTAAGGTATTGTTATGTATCATCGGCATATTGTATTTTCTCTGATCAGTTTTTTGTTTGTTTTAAATCTTTTGTTGATATAAATAATCGGTTTATAATTCCCTTAAAGAAAAAAAAAAAAAAAAAAAAACACCAGCACCATAAGCAGGGGGGAGAGACAGAGAGAGAGGGTGTGTGTGTGTGTGGGGGGGGGGGGGGTTAGATCGAGAAATGCAATCTGCAATCGATCCGGACTTGCAACGAACTTGAAAGTATGTTTTGGCTAAGTCTGCAACACTGAAGGAGAACTTATGGTATTCAGGTAACTTAGAATATTTAATAATAATTAATGCCTCTATATTCTCAACGTGTGATGACTTTTAACCACTTTATAAGTTTGTGTGTGTGGATGTGTGTGTTAACATGCATACATATCATGCACAAACGAATAAATTACAATACACATGTTAATAAATAGTTGAAAATAAATAACAAAAACGTAACAAGCAACACATATCCGATGCCATGAACACACCATGCACAAACGTATTGAAACAAACAAACGTGTTAATAAATAGATCACTGAAAACAACATGACCTGAAGACAAACAAATTACAAACAAAACGACACAAATTCACTCTCTTTGTCCCCTTTGTCTCTCCCCAAGTAGCCCCAGAAGCACCATCACCTATAATAGCTGCTGACTTGTCTGCACCAGGTCGCGAGGAGGAAGGTAGGGAGGAAGGAAAGTACCTTAATCATTATATCTAAAAATGATATCCAATAAATAGGTCAATTAATGAATAAATAAACAAAATCACTTCGTTTTCAAGAGTCACTTGAGTTTTGGTTTCAGTCCGACTTGGTTCAGTATAATTGTCCGTTTCGTATTGTAAAAAAAAAGAAAAAAAAAATGTGTATATCACATAGTATCCTACACACACTCGTAAGACACTGCGTATGTTCACATGATTTATATTAGGGTTAGAATAACTTCTTATCACTAGTAGTGTTAGTGCGCGGCGAATCCCAAGACCCGTCGCTATTATAATGCCCTTGGTAATAGCCTTGAAGTATATGTGAATGAAATTAAAACTTCTTTGAAATGCCTGCGGATTTTTTCTCTTTTTTTTAATGTCATGGTAGTCGCACTAAGGTGGGGTTCACCGGAAGTAGTCGTGGTCGAGTCGTAGCGGCGAAAGATTTGGAAGAAGGAGAAAGAGAAGAATAAGATAAGAAAAGAGGAAAAGCTTAATCACGATATCGGCCAGAGTAAGTGGACACCTTTGGACGGCGTTGGTTCGAGTCCACACGTCCGTAAGCCGCTCGGCCACCTCGTATAGACTGCTTGCATGCGACGTGTGTGCGTGCAGGCAGTCTGGATGGGTTAATGGGTTAGTTAGTCGGGTATTTGTGGAGTAGGCCTATCACTTCCTGCGCTCCCTCCGCGTTACCAAGACCGCGGGAGGCCGTCGCAGGGGTAGGACTTCGGGGGGTCGGTCGTTGCGCTGTCTGGGTGAGGCCACGGCGCTGCACGTGACGCCATGCGACTCCGGGGTCCTGCGTGTCTCCTCCCGTCCACCTGCGTCCCTACAGGATTTCCATCGGATAGAGGGAATCCTGTCGAACGTATGCAGGACGACGCGGCGCGGGGACGGCGGGAGGCGACGGCGCGGCGCGGGGAGCGTCCGCGCCGCGCCTCGGGCTGTCGCTGGCCCGGAAGGACACCCTCAGGACGGGGCGCAGGGCGTCGGTGAGTGCAACGGCGGCGCGAGCGGGGAGACGGCGTTAGATCCTGCGTGGGTAGCCCGAGTCGTAGAGCTGACGGAGGGACTCGGTGGTGGTGGCCGGACTGAGGGGCTCCTCCAGCTTGCTCCTGCGGCGGCGGTGCCACACGGCGGTCCAGGCCACGATGATCACCAGCTGCGCCACCAGGAACACGGAGCACGCCAGCACGAGGCCCACCATGTTGATGCACACGCCGGACACGTCCTCCTGCAGCACGAGCTCGGGGTCGCCGTCGGTCTGCGAGGAGGCGGGAAGAACGAGATTAGAACAAAGCTTGTAAGGAATATCAGTAATTCGTAAAATGTCGCTGCAACATCGCAAATCACATATACGCATATCCATTAAGGGCCTTACATACACAAGCACAACCAACACTAAGGAGTACAAGATGCGTTAATCCACAGCCAAGAAGAACCTTTCGCATGGACTTACCGCAGTGACGGTCTCCTTTCTGTTGTTGCTGGCGGCGTTTTCTCGGCTCTGGGTCTGAGGTCCTCTGAAGGCGAACTTGTCCAAGATGTTGATGGACTGCACCACCAGGAGCTCTTCGGGGATCTCCTTCGTGGCCTCTCGCCTCAACCTCGGCGCGAGGTGGGACACGACGCTCATGGAGTTAGGGTTGATGATTGTGTGCTGTCGGGCGAAAAAAAAGATGATCAGCTTCCTCCAAGCTCGAGGATATTGGAGAGAAGAGATAGAGAAAAATATATGAAAGGGAATATTTTGTCTAGATTAGTTCCGATGTAGAAAGAGTCAACAAAGCAGCAAATAACTTACATCCATCGAGAAATGACTAAGTAGCCCGGTGGTCATCTCAGAGATGTCCCTCTTCTTCCTTCCGTAGCTCTCGGCCTGCTTCACCTGGCCACCGAAGTCCATGACGTCACACACGACGGGCTCGCAGGTGGGCAGGCACGGCGTCACAAGGGCACGGAACTGAACGACATCGCTGGTGGGGAACTTGAAGGCGTCGAAGGTGGCGCCGAGGACCTGTGTTGGGGAAGGAGGGGAGCGGTTATTAAGCTAGATTTGGTAATTTTGTTCTGAAGTTATTGATCACCCGTTAGGCTAAGTTTCATCACGTAAACACGACAGGTACTGACCTTGCCGGTGCTGTCGACCTTGAGGAGTGGCCTCATGATGGAGATCTCAGTGGGGCATCCGCGGCCGTCCAGGAGCGTGAGGTTCTTGGTGTTTCCGCCGTCCATGGCCACTAGGTCGCGCACGAAGATCTCGTAGGGGGAGTTGCGGTCGACGATCTCGAAGCGCAGCTGGAGCATGTCGCCGACGGAGGCGTCAGAGATGTCGTCGCCGTTGCGGTTGGTCACGCGCATGATCACGTTGGGGGAGTCCACGGTGCTGCCCTCCTCCATGATGGGGCTCAGGTCCTCCTCCACGTTCAGGTCGACGCGGTTGCTCACGCTCTTGTTGGTCAGGTCGTACTGGCAGTGTACGCGGAGCCCCAAGTCGGCCGAGGTCACGATCATGTCGTGGTGCTGGATGACCACGTCGTTGCTGTAGCGAGAGGCGCTGTCACGCTCCACGTCGCAGTCGATGTCGTTGTAGGTCATCTGCAGTTCGAACTCGAGCGCGTTCTCGATGTCGTTGACGCAGGTGTTAGGGGAGCCCTTGGCGTAGATCTTGCCGTTGAAGATCTTAGACGTCTTGATCTTGGCCACCATGTCTCCGGAGCGGCAGTCGATCGTCACGTTGTAGCAGGACGAGAGCTCGTAGGTGGCGGTCTCGGCGATCTCCAGGTACGGCTCCTCGATGTGCGTGAGCGTGGCGGCGGAGTGGTGGGACAGGCGGCACACCTTGTCGCCGGTGTCGCCGAAGTCGAAGGAGTAGCACCTGCGAAACGAAGGAAAAAAATCGTCAATCATTACCACAATTCCAACTCGAAATTTAGATTCACATTTCGTACTCACAATCAGGCGATTCCCCAGATGCCATTTTAACGCACGGCTGCCCCAGCAAGAGGAAAACCCAGTCCCAGAGCCACTTCTCACCTGAAGGGGGCGGTGAGACAGAGACGCTTGCAGTCCTCCAGACTCTCCACGTCCTGGAACACCGAGTCGACAGTCTTCAAGATGCGTCCCTCCATCCTCTGGAATTCGCAAAGCCTCACGGGATCATCCACGCAGTTATTCTCCAGGAAGTCGCTGTTCTCGGCCACCTTGAATGCCCCGGTGCCCACGGTGGTGTGGCGGTCCATGTCGGAGATCTGGCAGTCCCCGGTGGCGTTGTTGAAGTTCGCGGATCTGAGGGGGGAGCAAGGAAGGTGGTTAATGCGGGTGCGTTGGGCCTTCGCAGGGTTAACAGTAAACAAAAGCACATATACAAAATGATTACATAAAAATGCAAAAAAAAAAAAAAAAGAATAAAAAATTATGTAATCTAAAAACAGCCAGCAGGGACTAAGCGACATTTAACTACACCGCCAGTCTTTACGAAGATATTAAATACCGCACGCGCCGTATACAAAGAACCCCCCTCCCCCCACTGGAAGCCACACACGATGAGTTGTGGACGATGGACAAAAACGTTATCATTGCCCGTAACGTCTCACCCCGACCGCCGAGGAGTCGAGTACGAGCTCATGAACTGGCCATCAAACCAAAAAGTTCATGGTACTCACGCTTGGTGCGTTCATTTCCACAGTCTTAATAAAGCGTTCTTAGAAGGGAGGAAAATGTAGGGTCATTATCACCGAATCGTAAAAAGGAGGTATTAAGAAGTAATCAAAAACGTGTATCTGTTCATTTCCACAAGACTGATTGACTTTTAAGCAATTAATGAGATCGTACTTTCGTCTTCATAGAACGAAAAACAATAATAATAAAAAAAAATAATTTCCTCGAATCTAAAGAAACTCAGAGAGCAATACTGATAAAACAGCTTGATTTTTTTTTTTTTTTTTTTTTTTTGAGCCTCAAACTTCGAAACAAATTGCGGAAGTAGAGTTTCTTTGGACAAAGAGAGAAAGAGAAAAAGAAAAAGAAACAAACTGAAATCACGTGTCTGTCCATTCTTCCATTTATCTAAACTCTTTAAGATAAAAAGGGAGTCAAATTACGTAGACAACAAGAGGAAGAAGAGAAAAGAGGAAGAGAGAAAGAAAAAAAAAAGAAAGGAAAAGAAAAGAAAAAAAGACAAGAAAGTATATACCCACTCAAGAACAGAGACACAAAAGAAGGAACTGTGAAAAATCCCGTCGACACTGAAAACTGACCTTTTTTTTCCCCCTTACTCTCTTTTTCTCTTATTATAAGGGTCGAGTTCCAAGAAACCTTTTATCGTGAGCGTTGTTTGCGAAAGTGGGTAGTTTACCTCGAATTACCTCGTTCCGCACTAAGCACTTAACCACCGTCAGCTCTAGAGAATGAATCGGCGATTTTTCTATTTGTCTTTTGAAAATACATTCGAATTTACTTGACTTTATATATTCAGCGTTTTCCTGATCTTCCTGTCTCAATATCTACCTTTTTTTCTCCTTCAGGAAATAATTACCGTTTGACTTTGAAGCTTATTTGAACAGTTCGGTTGAATGTCAGCAAGAAGAGATACACTTTACTTAATAAACTTTACTTGATATCATATTCAGGAGTAGTCCCGTCACTGTTTACATGGGAGTGACTCAGCACATTCAACAATGTACTACTTATATCACATATTTAATACCCTTTACAGTGTGCATAGGCCTATGTTTTCTGATAGGCCTATATTTTATTTTTATTTTTATTTTATTGATTGCAGGAAATAGCTTGAGTTGAACACAGAATTTGAGACACGAAAAGGTAACGGTGTTGTGATAGATCGCCTTGGGCTGAGGTGTGTGTGTGTGTGTGTGTGTGTGTGTGTGTGTGTGTGTGTGTGTGTGTGTGTGTGTGTGTGTGTGTGTGAAAACGAAGACGAAGATGAGAAAGAAGAAATAGATGAAGAAGAGGACCGTGAAGGAAGAGGATAAGGAAAAATAACAAGAAAATAATAAAAAATAAAGAAAAAGAAAAAGAAAGATGGTAAAGCAACGAAGTAAAAATAAATAAAAAAACAAAAAACAAAAAACGTTAAATGACCCCAGGCAGCAGCCAACAATTAAAACTGAGATCTAAAATGATATCTACGGTCTGGCCAATAAAAATAACATTGGCCAGGTGACACGGCATTATCAATTAGACCCGTGACTGTCTCCCATTTCATTTCTTAGATTTATTATTAATTTCTGTATGACCGAGAGAGAGAGAGAGAGAGTGGGGGAGGGAGGGATGGAGGGAAGGAGGGAGGGAGGGAGAGAGGGAGGAGAGAGAGAGAGAGAGAGAGAGAGTGGGGAGGGAGAGAGAGAGAGAGAGAGAGAGAGAGAGAGAGAGAGAGAGAGAGAGAGAGAGAGAGAGAGGGAGGGAGGGAGGGAGGAGAGAGAGAGAGAGAGAACTAGAGAAGAGAAAGAAAGAGATAGATAGATAGATAGATATAGAGAGAAAGAGGTAGATAGATAGGGAGAGAAAGAGAGAGATAATGAATATTGAGAAGTGAGAGTCTGAAGAAGGATTTTTACTCGACTTGATATAACTTTATTTAAATCGGACAAGCGGTTATTACGCGAACAAAATTACTGAACAGTTATAAACCCCAATTACTTCAGGGCGTAATTAAACCTTATTATATAATTAACGGTTTGATGTTCTACGCCAACCTCCCTAAATGTATGACAGAACTATCAGCTTTATCATGAATTATTAAGAATTATATCTTAAAATAAAAATCTGATTGATATTGGGGCAAGGGAATTGTGAAAATAATAATAATAAAAAGAATAATAATGGTAATATATATATATATATATATATATATATATATATGTGTGTGTGTATGTATGTATGTATGTATATATATATACACATATATATATGTGGGTGAACATAATTATGAATCACCAAACTATTTTTATTCATATTCCTTTCTCCATTTTGCGTTAATATATATATATTTTTTTCAATGTCTTTCCTTCTTGAATAAATACAAGAACGTGTAAATGGACGATAGACCGAAGGAAGACGAATTGCTAAATGAATAAGCGAAATTAACAATTACAAAAACAGGAAAAAACGAAGAAAATACAAAACACCTTTCAAACGCAATATGTATGAACGAAGTCAGGACCGAACTCGCTGAAGTTTTCATCAAAAGCATAAGCATAAAATAAAATAAAAAAGAGAATGACGAAAAATAATAACAGCTAGAGTCTTAATCCAAACCAAATTTCGTCTTTAATTGGAAGCGAAATATCACTAATTAAAAATCCGACATCGAGAGAGAGAAAGAGAGAAAGAAAAAAAAAAAGTAAGAAATTTGAAAAAAAATCGTCTCTTCCGGTTTTTTTTTTTTTCTTTTTTTACTCTCTCGTTGATGAAAGTATTGTCTGGTTTATGATTCGAGATGGAACTACGATATATGACCCGGATCTAGAGTGGCAGGTGATAGGCCACGTGAGGTCAAGGGAAGCGCACCTTGACTCATGACCTTGTAAAACGAATTGAAAAAAACAAACAAACTAATGACTGAATAATAATAAGATAATAGGTTAAATGCTTTAAGCTCTGGTTTCTTAGTAGCAACACACCACAGTTAAACTAGAGAAAAAGAGAAAGAAAAGGTTTCAAAGTCATTTATGGCTTGCTCTAGTCACAATTACGGTGTTTCCTCTTTGACTTATTTTTATAATCCAAATCATTAAACACCGCATGTTATACTTTACTTAATCTTAACGAGGAAGAAAACAAAACCAAAAACAGTAAAAGTTGAAGAGCATTTACGAATATCTTCCTAATAGAGCTTAGTAACCACGTGCCTGTCTGAATCGACCAATCCCGTAAGGCGCAGCTATCACGTGACCTCTGACCTGACCCGTGATAGGTAGCGGTCGTTGCGTCAAGATTTATGGCGGCAGAACGGGAGTAAGAATTAGCCATTTTTCTCTTCCCTCCAAAACCTTTCCTCTTCATTGTCCGTTCGTGTGAAGGTAAGAAGGCCACGGGTAATTTAAAGGGGGGGGGGGGGGGTAGGGGATAATTAAGCTGTGGAAAAATACGGTATTGGTCGTATTTACGGAAGAAACGAAACAGCTGCTTGAACTTTGTGGGAATGGTGGTTCACGAAAAAAGAAAAAGGAGAAAAAAAAATGGCGACAGACGTGGGTCTCACACTTTGAATTCTTTAAGGTCGATATTTTTTTCTTTCTTTTTTTTTACCCTCGAATTTCTCGTTTGATTTTCCGCTTTCACCATCCACTTTATGGGTCTCGATCCGTTATACAATCTGGCAATAAACGATTCAGGATTGCTGTGATTTGAACAGAATTGATAAGCATGACAAGAAAAACGAAAATGCAAGAAACAAATAGTTGAATGTGACAATTATTTATTCTATGAACTCATTATTCATTATATATGTGAATGTATTACTGTTGTGTTTTTCTTTGCTTTTCGTCTCATTTGATCTTTTGACAAGGAGGAGGAGGGAGAGGAAGAGGAAGAAGAAGAAGAAGAAGAAGAGAGACGAAGAGAAGATAAATACAAGTACTCATATCTTAAATTCTAATTTTATTGATACCAGGGTGTTGTTTATTTCTTTATTGCCTCCATAAAATAATACTCGTTTGTCGTAGTTTGTAATCATAACACTTTATGAAGCCTTCGAGAACAATACCGTATCAAATTACCTAACGTCTATTTATGGCCTGGCAATTATCACACCGGGCCGTAAAAAAAACACAATTGAAATAGCAACAACTAAAGATTCACGCAAATAAAATTACAATCACAAAGTACTGTTCGACCTTCATCCTCATTAAGCCACCCCCACACCTCCCTTTCTCCATTTCCGTTTACACCCTTCCTCCCTCCCCCCCCTCCCCTATCCTCTCCTTCCCTTCTTTAACAGGTCAGTCATTTCAACTTAATCAGAATGGTAATCTTCATTCATAAAAGGTTAATTTTGGTTGGTGAGAGAGAGAAAGAGAGAGAGAGAGAGAGAGAGAATGAGAGATTGAGAGAACGAGAGAATGAGAGAGAGAGAGAGAGAGAGAGAGAGAGAGAGAGAGAGAGAGAGAACGAGAGAACGAGAGAACGAGAGAATGAGAGAGAGAGAGAGAGAGAGAGAGAGAGAGAGAGAGAGAGAGAGAGAGAGAGAGAGAGAGAAAGAGAGAGAGACGGAACACCGTTAGTTGTCTGCGCCACTAACAGAGGGCGGTAGTATCGCACTTCCG